CGCTTTCTCGGCCGCGGGAAGTTTGTGTTTGGTTTGCTTGGGCGGATTCGCTCAGGAGTGGGCGATTCCTCCATTCGCGAAGTTTGCTTGTTTCCCTTCCCAGCTGGACCCTTGATTGCGGCTCCTCCACCGCCTTTTTATTCATCTCTTCCGTCTCTAGTTTTGTGTCTGGCACTTCCTTATTTTTTCCGCCTGGTGCTTTCGATTTTTTCTCCCTCCCCCTTCCTCCGCTTCGCGCTCCCCCTCTCTCTTTCCAGTCACTTCCAGCTTTCCTCGAAAGACGGACGGAAGCGCTTGTAATCAGCTGGTTGGGATACTTTTTTTATGGAGGCAGTTGTTCTGGGTGAACGGGAGACATTCTTCCGTCTAGCCAGCCACAGCGTTTTTAGTGTGAAGGCGACGGAGGAACCCGCTGATGAATGAACCGAACGGAGGGCGGGAGTGAATAGCGATGAAGCAGCGGACGCGACGGGAATAAGAGGGAGGTCCGTGGGGGGGGGGTAAACGCCGCTCTTGAGGCCGCCGATGGTTCCCTGCACTGCTTCCCTCTTTGCGAAGCGCGGGCGCAGCTGAGAGAGAAGCGGTTGAGGGCATGTAGGCGCGGTGGGAGGCGGTGAGAGGCAGGGGCATAGGAATAGGTGGCGGCTCTGAGGGGTGTTGACACGAGGACGGAAGTCAGGGAGGATACGTAGGAGTGGCGGGGCATCATGGAGTCTGAGATATTTAAAGGCATCGGGATTTCAGAACACCTTCACGAAAAGGGTCTATCGCGTCGGCTGGGCTAGACCGCTTGTCCCGTGACGCTCGTTAAACACGCCATCACACTGTCAGGTCCAGTCACAGGTTCGCCCTAACACGAATCGTCTCATCCCCATCTCATCGCCCAGGCTGGAAAGTCCGTCATTTGCGCTACCGAGTTGTCACCCTCTTGCTTTACTTGCTTGGTTAGGCTCTGTCAAGTGCACTCGGTACTGAGATAAAAGTATAGACGACCCAATACTGTGGGTACATAACTTAGGGTAAAAGTGTTAATTTATTTATTATACGTAATTAAGACTTTCACCAAGATGCATTTGGTTCCGACTTCTCTCGCAAGGGCGCACATAATTCATAATCATTGATGACAGGAATAGGCAGAATAAAATATTCTAGATAAGGAAAGTACAAGAACATTGACGTCTTGGCGCGGGTTTCGTGGCACGCGAGATCTCGACGAGAAGTGCCACAGTTTCCAGCTGGCTCGTCATTTACTTCATATCATATGTCGTACCCTCTCACCTGCTCCTTTTGTTTCTTGTATTTTTTCTCACACTAAGACACGTGTTTGAGTTAGCGTCACACTCTGTTATGTACATATTACATTAGTTCATATTTATGTAATTATCTTATTTTAGAAGATAAATCCATTCTCTATGCAAATATAAATGAAGGATATTACTGTTCCTTGATTATTTTCGTTTCTATAAAGCATGTACTTGTCATGAAGCCTTTTGGTTGCAATAGGTTTAGGATAGTGAGAAGGTTGTATTAAGGCAGGGACACCGCCCTTTTGTGGGCGTGGGCGTACTAACTAACGACGCCTCCCTTGGCAGCGATCGCTCCCCGCCGCCCACTTGCTCTCCGCAAGAAGGTAAAGGATCTTGCAAGGAAGTGACTTAAGCCACCTGCTGCTTGTCTGGCTTACAGGCGCATCACCTGCAATTCTGTCCACTGAATGTTGTTTCTCGGCATAATTTCCATTTCGTTTGTTTTCATTTTAGTTTTGTTTTCTGAGTTACTACCACGTCGTGCAACCATAGAACTACAAACTGCATAAAGTGTACTAGGTTTATTACCCTGCTTAACCTTAACCTCTGTTACTCTGTGATTTTCTCTGGTTATTTGTATAATCATCTAACCTGTAAGTGTTTGGTTGTGGAGGCGAGGTGGGTCAGTGGGGTGGAGAGACCCCCTTTGGAACGTTGGTGTTTCCCGAGCCCACACTGTGCCACCCTCATGCTTGCCCCACATTGCCATCACCTGCAACGCGATTACTCACTCTTGTTGTCACTGGAATTAATAATACACAGTCGGCCCCTCAAATGCGATGCTTCTTGGAGTTAGAACAGGCCTCGCGGTGTGGGGTCCGAGAAGAGGCAATTTCGTGAACATTCCCCTGAGAACTTTTGTAATGGTAAATGCCCAAGTTCCAGATCCGTTAATTACGTGCCATTCAACCTTTCCTAATGCAAGGCGCCACTTGAGTCCGCCAATGGGAGTTTCTTGCAAGTGCCTCAGAGAGTAGATTAGAATAACAATTGTGTTCAGGTGAGATTGGTGTGTTGTTATTCATCTAACACAACTCAGTTTTGGTTTTGGTTTGTTTTTAGTTCAAAAACGTTATGATAAAGAACTCACCACTAACATTTGCAACTGTTAATCCCAAGAGGTAAGAAATAACATATATGAAGATGAAGACAGCATTAAGATAAAGGTCAAAATGTATCCTCCAGTATTTTGTCTTGCTACTGTCTTTGTCTTGAATGATTTATCCATGTATGGTTTACATGTGGTAAGGGCTATTGCTGTAAAGAACCTGGTGTCATACTGGTATTTACCTGTGCTGTTTCTATTTCGACATATGCCACGGTCTTAAGAATATTGTTAAAAATATTTTAAGGTTTAATTGGATCACTCATTTCCACTTCTTGAGACCCTACCCAGGTTTTCATCCCATCAACTCCTCCTACCCCCCCCCCCTCTCTACTCTCTCTCTCTCTCTCTCTCTCTCTCTCTCTCTCCCTCTCTCTTCCTCTCCTCCTCTCTCTCTCTCTCTCTCTCTCTCCTCTCCTCTCTCTCCCTCTCTCCTCTCCCCCCCTCCCTCTCTCCCTCCTCTCCCTCCCCCCCCTCTCTCCTCTCTCTCTCTTCTCTCTCCCTCTCCTCCTCTCCCTCCTCTCTCTCTCCTCTCCTCTCTCCCTCTCCTCCTCCCTCTCTCCTCTCTCCCTCTCTCCCTCTCTCTCCCCCCCCTCCCCCCCCCCCCCCCTCTCCCCTCCACCCCTCTTCTCTCTCTCCTCTCTCTCTCTTCTCTCTCTCTCTTCTCTCTCTCTCTCCTCTCTCTCTCTCTCTCTCTCTCTCTCTCTCTCTCTCCCTCTCCTCCTCCCTCCCTCCCCTCCCCTCCCTCTCTTCCCTCCCTCCTCTCCTCTCCCTCCTCTCCTCCTCTCCTCTCTCTCTCTCTCTCTCTCTCTCTCTCTCCTCTCTCTCTCTCTCTCTCTCTCTTCTCTCTCTCTCTCTCTCTCTCTCTCTCTCTTCTCTCTCTCTCTCTTCCCTCTCTCTCTCTCCCTCTCTCCTCCCTCCTCCCTCCTCCCTCTCTCGCTTAGCCACCCCTCCCTCTCCTATGAAATAAATGTATATATTGGACATATGGTGTAAGTAAAGCAATATGAAATGATGTTAGGTCCCACCATACACTTTTACTGTACACTACTCTGTATTGTGATGCTTTTTGTTCCATTGGCTGCTTGTGCATTTCTAATTAGTGTGATATCTTAGTTGCAGTGTCATACTTTATCACAGATGAGTATTTCAGACTCATTATATCAAGAAGGCTTTCTCTTGTTATTTATTTATTCAGTTTTATTTACTTATTGATATACTATTAGGCACTTTAAGAAAAAGGGGATGTTCCCAGATACTCTGCATGACATTATTATGATGCTAGCAGTAGTAGCATCAATATCAAGTTTGACTATAAAGCTCTGCTTAATTTCTGCAGGGGTCTAATTTAACCGCTTAAAAAGAAAAAAAAATCATATGACTCCGACTTTTGAACTTTTTTTCCCCCTCGCCTTACCTTTCTCCGTTTTCTATGCCCAGCCGTACGTACACAGAGGAGCAACGGGCAAGGTAGTTTTTAATGTTTTTTTTCAACCAGCTGAGTCTGGGTTGTGCATGCTCAAGTCTGGGACTTTGGTTCCTGTCAAGACCATTAACCAGGCTTGATTTTGTGTGGTTCGGATGCATGTGTTGCGAGCCACGCGGAGGCTGCATTGAGTATCTCTGTGGAACCTTAGGTTTTGTTTTTTTTTAGTAGGAACTTGATATGCTATTGACATAATGGGTCATAATGAAATTAAAGTAAGAGTGTAATGATAAAAGCCTTTTCTTGAGTTCCTACTAAAAACTTGTAAGTGAACGTGGTTATCAGGGCAGTATGAATGAGAAGACAGCAACTCCAGACAGGTATGGCAAGGCAACAGTGTACAGTGTACGTATGGTGAAGTTTATAAGGCGATGTAAGGTCTCCAGGATTGTATGTGATCAAACAGTTCGAACATTTTATTAAACACTACATACATATTCTCTCTTGGACACATATTTCTGACCTTCCTGTCTCTCTCTCCCATTCCTTGCACGCAGCTTCTCAACACAGGAGCCACGGCCAAGGTAGTGAGTGTGCGCGCCTGGTGGATGGGTGATGAGAAACGACTTGTAGGGTATAGTAGTTGGGTTGTGGATGTTTGCCGCTGCTTTGGGAATGCGTCTGATTAGGAAAGCCACTGTACTTTGATTGTGAGTGTCTGGTGGTGCTTTTAAGACTGGAAAGTGCGCCAGTTAATGATGCTATTGGACTTAGGTGTATGAACTGTTTTATTACTGAAGGGTATGAGGTCTGGAAGGTTGTGTGTGTGTGTCCAGTCTGTTTCTACTTGGACAAACTGCCCTGGAGTATGGAGTTAGTCTTGCCTTGCAGTATGTTGTTCATAATTTGATATACATAAAACTAACTTTATTATGTGAACTAGAGTTTGATCAAATTTCAAACCAAGTTTAATAGAAGTTCATGCATGCATTAGGTAAAGTGGTTCCCTTTGTTTATAAGGACATTGTTAAAATATAGACATGATGTAGAATTTTAGAATAGATGATTTGTTACATAAAGTATAAACCCAATGACCAGAGATAATATGACATACAGGTCATGTCCACTGTAATTTTAGTTTATTAAGAATGTTCACACAGAGATGGCTCCACAATGGCTAGTCACTAAGGTTATTATTAGTTCTACCTACCCTTTTCCATGATTTTCAGCAATGCATGTGTTTATTATTCAATTACTTTAATGATTATTGGTATTTTGATGATATAATCATAATGTCAAAATGATAATAACAGTATCAATATTAATAGCTTTAAAAAGAATGAATTTCCCGCAAATTCAAGGAATGGGGAAATAGGACGTAGTTTATAGGGCCTATTAAGTGGCTCCCTGGCTGAGCACTAATGAAGCCATCTCTGTGCAACCGAATTCACTAAAAAATACAGTGGACAGTATATAAATCCACGGTCAATGTGGTAAGCAGCTTCCACACCATTTGTTATTACCGATAAGTTCACATTTTCATAGTATGTAAATTATTATTAAGTTTACGTAGAAAGTGTTTGTTGTTCTTTTCTCTACAATTGTATCCATGGTTCAAGTTGTTTGCAAGTACCACAGTTGTAACAGATTCTCCCTATTACCAGTTATTCATTATTTACATCATGCAATCTGTATTTTCTGTCTCTGTTGTACCAGTGCCATTTCTACTATAAGAAATTTATAAAAAGACTTATGCACTCTGTATGAATCTTTTTATGTTACTGTTAATGCAATATAAGGGATGGAAATATATTTAAGTTAGTGCTGTATTACCATGCCTAATATTGAAAACCTAAACTAGCTGGTGATTAAGATTAAGATGTAGATATTGCCCCTATCTTTGTATGTATATGTTAACATCATTGCCCCCATAATTACTCGGTCTCTGGATCCCTAGCCCAAGTATTTCTTTTTTCCATGATAGTATCTTATATAGGCATCATTTTTTCGTAAGCTAAAAGAAACAGATAGGATCAAGGTTTTGTCTACTCTGTTGTCTTTCTGTTTTTCCCCACTTGGGGCTACTTTGTATGTTGTTGTTTAAATGTAAGTGAATATAAATTGCAATTAACTAAACCTTTGATTCATGGACTCAAAAAAGAACTCAAGCATTTCATTGATTAACTTGGTAGCCGCCGCCACCCGGGGCACTCCCGAGGAATTCCTTAGGTCCGAGCTCCTTTTCATTATCGCCCTTATTTCCCAGTGAAAAGGTATAGGGGATGATTATCTACTCACAAAAAAAATAATTTATTTATGGTAACAAACAAAAAGGTTAGGATTCATCATTATCTGTCATCCCCCCTCAAAAAAAGCTCTCACAATAGGCCTACTTAGAATTACTCGCTACTGAGTTGAACATACGAAAGAAAACAGTGAGTAACCAACAATTTCGCAACTGGTCAGAACAAACAGGAGTACGCTGCGCCTCACTCCTCTCTCACAAATGTCACCGTTTACTTTCTGCTTAAATTAACAAGAACTCTTGACAACCCAAGATAAGAATGCTAACTGGTCCATCATAACCGAAATTTTACATTCAACATTAATGAGGAAAGTCAGCTCATGGCAAATAACCTCCCGGCGCGGAGAAACAGTCATAACCGTCCCCTAGAGCGTCGCGGGTTCCTTGACTTGGCTCTGCATAGTAGCTGCTCCCATGAAATCTCTCGTTCGAGTAAAAAAAATGTATATATATATATATATATATATATATATATATATATATATATATATATATATATATATAAGTATTCTTTTTCCTTCACTCGAAAAATATCTACATATTTTCTCATTTACAACAAGTTTTGATATCCTCAATATTAAAGCAAGACGGAAATTGGTTCAAAAAATAAAATCTAAGAATGCGTATTTTCCCGGAAATACGTGTCGGCCCTGTTGGAAAGAACCGCGTAATTCAAAATGTGTTATGACCCAATCTGGCCATTACACATCTACTTACTTTCTTATTTTGTCTTTTCACCCCTTCAGATACCCCCCACCCCATCATGTTTATGATATACTCCTATTTTGATTGTCACCAAGCAGTCATATTCGAAACAAATAAGTATTTAAGTTGTAAAAAATGGTGCCAATAAAGAAGCAGGTGAATGTTAATTAGTAAGTATTGATCACTCTGTATGATGTGTTTGTATGATTACTGAACAATAACAGTGTGTTGTGGTATGTGTGACAGAACTTCTTGGCCCCAGATGGTGTGTCCTTGGTAAACGAACAGTTAGGTAACACAACACTTCACTAAATTTTTTGTGGAACACCATCCTCCTCTACTTCTTGCCTTGTTCTTTTGTTGTTAGGTGAATACACACCCTTTGTAATGATGAAGCGTGAAAATGAAGTATGAAGAATGGTGATCAAGAGTTGCTTCATGAAGTTGTATTTGAAAAAAAGGGAAAATAGGCAGCCTTTGGTGGTTTGTTTCCGTGTAGCATGCATCCAGTCTCATGTTGACTAAAAGCTATCTCAAATAGCCTGCTAATGCACCACATACAGTCGCGTAAGTTATTTAAGTGTGAAGAAATTTCATATCATATTTCACCACTACCAATTATATGTTTAAATGTCACTCTACACTTTTTTTTATTCACCTTTATTCATTTACATTTAAAGAATATTTGTGTATTTGGTGTATTTTAAGAGGATTCCAATTATAAGGATTTCTGTTCTGAAGTACAGCATCATAGTGTGATCCAGTTTTTTTTATAACATATGATGCTGAAAATGCAATAAATTTTCTTGATGTGTTATTTGCTATGGAATTATTTGTGTTGTAATATGTCATTCTTGATTCAACAGCCCAAAATATACTTTTTAAAATTGTTGAAGGTATCTGTGAAAGTGAAAATTCTGTTTAGGCATCACACATGATCACGTTTTATTAATGGAAAAGCATGTTTTTAAATTTATTTCCATATTGGTTTTGTTTTGTTTATTTATTTGTTTATTTTTTATATTCAGATATTGTTTTAAAGCGTTCTTAGTGTGCTTGATTTATGTTTAGATACATGTTGCCGCGAGATGTACTAAAGTGTTGAAGGAGTGGTTGTGAAGAAGGAGAGAGAGAGAGAGAGAGAGAGAGAGGGTATGAAGTGGCTTTTGTAAGAGTTGTGCTTCCTTATTGTTCTCCAGCCCATACCAAGACAGAGTTGGTGGTTGTTGAAGCTATGTATTTGTGTGTAAACATTTATTCTTTTTATTTTGTTTATCTTTTTCTTTTTATTGTAGAGGTGGGGGGACAATGGGAATCTTGAATTGGACAACCACATGTTATCCCCAATATTTATATTTACTACAGGACCAGTTTATAAATAACCATTTTAAAGGCTAATATTTTTGGGGGGTCATTGAAAATGTGTTGTTTGATTTGTATTGTATTGGAACTGTAAAAAAAAATATTTTGGGTTTACATATGTGAAACTGCATATATATATATATATATATATTATATATATATATATATATATATATTATATTATATATATATATATGTGTGTGTGTGGTATATACATTTATGATAAGTGAATGTAAGAACAGTTTTATGTATAGACATCTTATGTAAGTTTTTTTGATAGGAAGACTATAATACTTGTAGGAAGCCCTGTTTAGAATAACTCCCTATTCCTGTCTTTTAAAAAGTCAAGGTCACTAATACAAAGTGCATTTCAACAGGTCAAATCCGGAGGCAGCAAATCAAGAGCCAGCAGTGCCCCTCCTGTCAGAAGATCCGTCCTTGGGGCTGCCCTACCCCCAAGAGTGCCGGAGGTGGGTGTGCATTGTGATTGCTCTCCTTGTGGGAGAGTTTGTGAGCCTGATCTAACGATTCTGTGCCTGGCAGCCTCTGTGGCATGGAGGGTGCCAGGTACTTGGATGACGAATGCTCTAATCGTTTGTCGAAGTTCGTGGGGGGTGGAGTGACGTGCGTTTCTGTTTAGTGTGTAACCCTACTTCTTTCCCAACCTTGTAGGCTTAACCTAGGATATTAATGGCGTGAAATTGTCATTAGTAAAACCTATGTTTTGATAGTTGTGTACAGTATTCAGTTTTACCTTGTACTTGGCATTTGATACAAACTCAGTTTAGATTATTTATGTTGCTATCATCACTTTTATGTAAGATATTTAAAAGTAATGAAGTGTAACTTTAGATGCAGGAGGCTTTGTTCAGAAAGCAGTGTAAACGTTATTGCAGAAGTTTAGGATTTCAAATTTAGCTTTATATATATATATATAGTATATTAATATTATATTTATGATTGTATATATATATGTATGTATATATGTATATATACATAAATACACATACACAGACACATACATTCACATATAAATGCACATATATATATTAATATATATATTATATATATTATATATATATATATATATATATATATATATATATTATATATGTATGTATATATATGTATGTATATGTATACATACATACATACCTATTTATGTGTGTTATATATATATATATATATATATATATATATATATATATATATATATATATATATGTATATATATATATATATATATATATATATATATATATATATATAATATATATAATATAAATATAAATATAAATCACACATACACACACACACACACACACACATACACACATGTGTGTGTGTATGTGTGTGTGTGTGTACGTGTGCTTGTGTACATACATACATACATGTACATATATATATATATAATGCAGTTTTCCGAAAAGTACAAAAAAGAAAATTATATTTTCCAGTCTAAATATACATATGAACATATACATACATATACATATATATATAATACTGTTTTCTCATAAGTACAAAAAAGGAAATATTTTCCAGTCCTGATGAAAGATAAATATGCTTTTTTCGTTCCAAAAATAAATGATGCTTCAGTTAGCAACTTTAGTACAATAGTTCTAGTTCATAGTAAGGCAAGCTATAAAAGGTTGGAACAGCCCTCACAGGCATGTGCTATATATCTAAGTGACTTTCCCTAAACAAATAGTTTGTCATTGATCAGTTTTGTCTTTTTAAGCAAAATCAAGCTTTGTATTGCATTGTTTGTGAAAGCGTGTGCCAAAGTGATAATGTCATATTTACTGCCTGTTCATAAGAAGGAGAAGACGACATAAGGTTATCTCTCCCTTCATATGAAAATCCATAATTATGGCTTAGCATGCGATGTGTACAGTGTATGCAGACTACCATCTGTACGCTAACCCTGTGCAGCCCTTTTAGTTTGGCTTATTTTGAAGTCAAGGACTCCACAAACTAGAAGCAAAAATTCCAACAACTTTCCAGTGTTGACCCCATCCATTTGTTCTCTAACACTAATCATAAATGAAGGAAGTGGATGGCACTCCTTCACATACGGAAACTTGTTGGAAAGGTTTGTGTTGCTGCGTGACAGTACTAACACATGTCATATTGTCCTCTTCCCCTCCTCTCTCCCTTGCCCCTCTGGCCCTGTATGCATGATGACTATGTTGGCGTGTGTGCATATAGCAGGGGAGAGTGGTGGTGGTGGGGGCCTCGAACAACAATCAAGAGAGTGCCATCTATCAGTCGGGGGAGAGCTGGGTCATCATCCTCATCTACAGGTACTAACGACCTTATCTATTCATGAATAAATGTAAATTTATTAATTTTCATTTTTTTTTTTTTTTTTTTTTTTTTTTTTTTAATTATATTATATTTTCGTGGTTATGCATCTTGTTCTTTGATTTGAACAAGAAGCTGAGGAATCTGTCTCTATACCTTTCTTAAATCTAACAGCATTTTTAAACATTTCATTCTCTTTTGTGTTTATAAAAATGTTCCTAGAGGATTTGAGCAAAAGCCTAAAATAGCTAGATAGTGAATGATTTGCATTTTCTATAAGCAAATGATTGGCTTAGTATATGTAATTGCATTTATGTAAAAAGTTATTGGTCTTAATGCCTATTTTTTCACAGTTAATAAAATTACAGATGCATTGTAGAATAGATAAACACTGTAATAAATGTGTGACATTAATACCAATGTATTTGTCTAGCAGTACCAAAGATAATCAACGGAATTATTTCTCCCTTTAGCTCCTGCTGGAGCTGTGGATGAAGCCTCGTTCTTTGCCTCATTTGAGGATGTTCCTAAAGTTAACATTTACTCTGCCCGGGAACTGGAGGACAACCTCACCAAGATCAGGGAGGTTATTTCCAGCCCTAGTAATGACTGGGACAAGAGAGTAGATGCAGTAAGTACAGACTTGTGCATGTTTTGTTTTGAAGTATGAAATCAAGTATGGATGGGAATTGCAGTTACATAATTGCTCATACTGACTATTGCAAAGGAATTTTTAACCAAGACCGCAATGTATCTTTACAGCTGAAAAAATTGCGAAGTCTCTTAATTGCTGGTGCCAATGGGTATGAGGAGTTTTATCCTCATCTTCGGCTTTTGGAACCTGCCATGCAATTGTCTATCAAAGATCTCAGGTAAGTCACAGTACTCAATTTTGATATAGAATAATGATGAAAAATGTTTATTTAGAAGCAAGTTTTAGAAGAGCATATGATATAGATTTATTTTCTGACCTAAGAGTTAGGAGCTTGTAAAAATATTTTGTTTTAGAGTTACATTAGTTAGACAGTAAAGATGCCTGAATTGAAATTGTCAGATTATATAAGCCACATATCTCTTGTAGGTCACAGGTGGTCCGAGAAGCATGTATCACTGTTGCATACATGTCCCAGGAACTTCACCATAAGGTTGACCATTTGTGTGAGACTGTCCTGCCAAATCTTATTTACTTAATACCCAACAGTGCCAAGGTATGTACAATCTGAATGATACATTTTATATACATAAAGCCATATAAAAGTTTAGATGTGGGAAATAATTCTGATGCTACTTTCACCCAGACTTAATAAAGTTAAGTTTGAACTGCTTTCATATTTAATGATTTTAATTTCTTTCTTTCACAATTACAGGTGATGGCATCCTCTGGCGTTGTCACGATCCGGTTTATAATTCAAAACACTCATCACCATAAATTAATTCCTATCCTTTTGCGAGAGATCAGTAGCAAGAATAGAGAGATCCGCAAAGTCTTGTGTGAGGTTTTAGATCAATTAGTGCATACGTGGCCCACTCATTCTATGGAAAAGCACGTTCTCATCCTTGCCGAGACAATTAAGAAGGGAATCACAGATGCTGATCCTGAAGCAAGAGCCTTTTCCAGAAAGTAAGTCCTTTTGAGTTAAGTACTTTTGGGTAATCAGTTATTGTGAAAATTATTTGGGAAAGTTATTTAAAAAACTGATTATGTCAGGATGAAGCAAAATCTGTGAAGCGAATACTAGTATCATATTATTGGAGGTTGGGGGTGAAAAAATGCATATTGGGCATTTAGAGGGGGAAATCAATATTTTTCTCATATGAGCAGAGACTTTAACCAAAAAGCCTTACTTCAGAGCATATTGGGGCTTTGCGGGCCACTTCAAGGACGAGGCAGACAAACTGCTGAACTCACTGGACCCGAGCTACAAGAAGATGCTTCAGGGAGAGATGAGCATGTCCAATTCATCTTCATCACAGTCTCTGCACAACTCCCAGAAGTCAGGTATGAACAGTCAGTCAGCAGATTAGAAAAGTGCGGAACCATGAAAGGAAGGTTTTTAACAAGTGTCAGGTCAAGGAATTAGTGAGAGACATTTTTTTGGAAATTGATGTAGTCACATCATAACGTGTTAGGGTGGACAGATAAGAAGGAAATAGTAAATATGACAATGGGAGTATTTATTTTAGTACATTTATTTAGTACTTGTCACTGACTGCTAGTATGATGTGACTATGTAATAGGATCAGTTTTAGTTTTAGTTATGTGTATATATATACATGTACATGTTACGTGACATAGTATAAGGAAGCTGGTGTAGCTGGATCAGTGTTGTTGATGGCAAGTAGATGGACCTACCTCTAGTCAGGGTACTGGTGAGGTGAGTGGTAACAGATGGTTTTTACAGGTAGGAAAAGTACTGGCAGGAATGCTTTCATTTTCTTAAACACTGAAGGCAAAGACTCTTGCAGCAATTTGTGGAAATAAATGTATATCTCCTTGAAATTCACAAGTGAAATTACACATGTTCATAAAAAGACATTGTTAAATTTAGATTGGTGGAAATCAGTTTCTTATTGTTGTGTGCATATATTTTACAATGCTTTCTATTAGTCATTAATATTACCCTTTCCTTTTTTCTTTTTTCAAACTTCTTTATCTTTAGTTGTGCAACAAAAGGCTCATTAATATTCGTTAAAAGACATGGTTTTAATTGTTTACTTTTATCGTATGCAAGTTTATTTAGTTAAAGTACATCAATTTTGCTGCAGGACTCACTTGACATACATATTATATTTATTTTTTGCATGTGTGTGTACATAACAATCGATTTGGGTAGGGTTATGACACACATTTTAGCACATTCTTTAATATGGGTAGTTCAATTTGCGCATGTGTGCGTCTTTGTAGTTACTTTGATTATTATGATTTTTTTTTGGTATGACTTTATTTTGATGGGGTTATGTATTTAGTACCTTTAGTGTTTACAACTGGCAAGCATATGACACACAGCTCATGCTTGGCCTTTGCTTGCTTCCCCCAAATCCTTCCTACCTCAACTACACCACCTCTGTGGCTTGTGTGTGCCTGGATGTTGCGCATACGCTCTACGTGGACTGTGTGCTGCCACTTGGATGAAATCACAAAACCGACACTGGATGGGTGCATCTTGCCGTCACTGGACACACATCAACAGCTGGAGCGCGTCCTGGGTGGTCACGTTCTTCTTCGACGGCTGGGAGCACAGAGAACCTGTCTGGAATGTCATCAAGACTCCCCCAAAGTGGCATGCGACGCTCTGCCATCCCTACCCCAGCCTCCACCGCCCTCAGGACTCCTCAGACTCCCCCGTCCCCTCCCACACACCCACCAACTTCCGCTCCAACAGTGCCATTGACCTGCAGGCCGCAAGGCGTGCACAGGCTCGTTCACAGTATGCCCAGGCCCAGAGACTCAAGGTGGGCTCTGGAGCGTCACTACGTAAGTAACAGTCCCATTAACTTTCTCACTCTTAATATATCCTCAAAAAGTTAGAGTAACATGAGTGTTGAATGAATTCATTAGATTTGCAAAATTAGTGTTTTGTGCTAACTTCACGGAAAATCAAAATTTATCCCCAGTTTCACTGTACAATAAAAGCTCCTTTAATTACTGGAGTAAAGGAATAGCGATCACTAGAGTTGTTCAGTATCGGTTTTATAATTGATATTGCTGTAATATATACTGCTGGAAGTTGTGTATTGTGTTTGTTCTCACAAAATGATTTAGTTGCCGAATGGTTACTTTTCATAAGGGGAAAAGCAAATTAGTAGAAGCTATGCATGATATTTTGCATGAAACCTTTTTGGTAAATTTTGATATTCATCAGCAGAGTTTTGGGCTTCCATATAGGCATCTGCAGTTTGGCCTTGTACAAAAGTGAAATAAAGGAAATTAGTGTAGATATTAGATGAAGCACACTGCTTATACATGACTTGTTTCACCAATCAGTATATTGTTACAGCTTTAAATGGTTAAGGAAAAAGAAACTGAGAGACCTATATTGGAAGAGTTTTATGTTAGGCCATAAGTGGTCTGTGAAAACAATAATAAGCCACGAGGTGTTCAGATGCTAGTTTTTTGGCCATACTTTCTCATTTTTGTCACACTTTTGAAAAAAAAAAAAAAAAAAAAAAAAAAAAAACTTTGCAAGTGGCCACTCATATAGTGAGTTATTATTGTTCTTAGTTGTGACCAAGAAGATGAGTTGTTGGAATGTTATTTCCATTGACTAAAGCTAAGTCATCTTGCTTTGTTTCTCATGTAGGAACTGAAGGAGAGGACAAAGGTAAGCACACGAAGAAGTGTAATATGTGAATAACTAATGCTTAGATATGAGATGTCTGACAAATACTTTTGGGAGACCTGCTTGATCGTTGTTATTGGCTGGTTCCAATGAGTTCCTTTTACAGTGTTTTGTTTTAAAAGTTTCCCGGTAATACAACTATT